AAAACGCAACATGCATCGGTTAAATTTGAAAAAAGCATCATGTGTTCTTTGGTTTTGAATTTTGTATTGGTTTGAAGGGATTGGAGGATGACGTGCCGAGGACGTCATCAACTTGCCTAGATATAGCGAACAAGATGGAGCTTGGATCAGAAGGATTGTTTGACTGCTTGCAGTAACATCTCGGTTGGTGATTCAGTAACACGATTATTGTGACTTTCAAGTTAAAGAGAAAAAGAAATAATTCAAGCCTTGCCTGAAGAAGGTACATCGTGTACCGAAACGTCGCGATATAGGCTTGAACACAGAAGATTATTATTTTTGCTTTATTATTTTAATTTTTAATTTTTATTTATTTATATTCTTTCTTTTGATTAGTTGGTATAATCACTAATCAAGCGTCAGTTCATTTCATGGTACTTTTAAAAAAAACACAATCCTCAAAAAAAAGTTTAAAAAGTAAAAAAAGACAAAAAAATACCAATATACAATTGCTGATTTGATCGTGCATAATCAATTATGGTGTTCATCTTTCAAAATATCGTTTCACGACCCCTCGAGTATGTTTGATCCCTCACAAAAATAGGAAGGATTTCTCCCGACGAAGGGAACGATTTATGAGGGATGATTACTTTGTGGAACGATCTCGTGACTTCCCATATGAGGTCAATGACCACGAAGAATCATTCAGAGGTCACAGTAACGGTGCACACAATGTAACTCGATCGGGGAATATTGCAGATACATTCTTTCGTCAGTCACGTGATCAACGCTCTTTAAATCGGGGGATTTAAACCCACATGAAAGAGAGTGACTTTTGGGGAAAATAGGACTATTTACCCCACAGAAGAGAATCGATTTGATGCACAGAGATACAGAAACATGATATTTTCCTCATAACGTGGAGAAGAACAGAAGACGTGAGCATACACGACCCAATTAGTGTTACAGCAACACTATGAAGATATCATACAGCACACATTAGGGACCCTACGAGGAGAAACACGGAGAACGGACTGGTTACATGCTTTCGAGATTGCTGTCAAATGGGCAATGCGGAATTTTGGTAAAAGAATCTCCCAGAGGGCAATTCAGCAGGCTGAAACCTTAGTCCTGACCGAATTGCGTTCTGGGATCCCATCTGGGTCAAATGGACCACCAAATTCTAGGATAAATAGTAACCGAACATATGCACAGACGGTCAGTGGTGTAACTCCATCCTCAGTCCAGCAGAGGGCAGAAATGACCAACACAGAGGTTGTCAGGCCTAAAACGGGAGTGACACACATCCAAATACAAACATCCCCTACTTTAATGTCAGGCTGGTCTCCTATGAGGAACGACTGGCTTCTGGGAGATGAGTTTCCACCTTTGAGCCCTTCTGTGCAGGCCCCTATACAGTCTCCTCGGGGCAAAAGAAAAGAAAAGAAAAGACACCTGACAGAACAGAGACCAAAAACTCCACCGGGCCTCACAGAGCTCTCTGAGAAAAATCTCTTAGTGAATTTTGAGGATGAGGATGATGATGACCAGATAACTCCGGCACAGGGAGACAGACTGGAAGATTTAGATGAGATAACAAGCTGTCTGTCACAGGATCTCTTCTCGCCTCTTGTCCCTCTTGAAGCCGAGGCCCCAAAAACTATTGGCCTGCCCTCTCTGGTTCCTATTGTACTTGAGCAGGACGATGATGATGATGATGATGATCAGTTAACTCCGGCACAGGGAGACAGACTGGACGATTTAGATGAGATTACAGGCTGTCTGTCGCGGGATCTCTTTTCGCCTCTTGTCCCTCTTGGAGCTGAGGCCCCAAAAACTATTGGCCTGCCCTCTCTGGTTCCTATCGTACCCAGTACATTAAACACAGTAAATCCACTAACGGACACAACTGAGGGAGCCCAGGTCCTTCAGAACCCCTCAGTGTCACCGAATTTGCCTGATCTGGAATTTTCAGTGTACTCAGTGACAACTCTTCAACCAGGGTCTCCTCAAGAGGCAGAGAAGGGTGAAACTTCCAAAAAAATGGGAGAAAGGATCTCTGACAAACTTACTAAAACAATAATAGAAACAGAAAAGGGCAGTAAAACAAACAAAAACACTGTGGCTGACAGTCCGGGTCAAAGGTCACCATCTAAACCATACATGCACCTCAGAACTAACAAAAAGTTCAATGAGTGGAAATTAGCACTCCAAGAAAAGCATGTGATCATCGGTGACTCTAATTTGAGCAGAATTCCCACCTTTGACATACCAAATTTGCAGATTGACAGCTTCCCGGGTGCTAAATTACAGCACGCTGCCAATCTGATAGAAAAAGCTACGCTAGAGACTAAAGTAGAAAAGATAGTCTTGGCATTCGGTCTGAATAACCGCACACAAAGATTACGTATCTCAGCTATGAGAGAGTGTGCTAGAGTGAGTCAGGTGACACAAGAAAGACTACCGGATGCCCAGGTGTGGATCCCACTGATTAATATTCCTCAATCTCTCCCAGAAGGAGAAAAAATCTTCTTAGATGAATTGAACAATTATATTGAGGAGAATTACTCCTTCATCCCCCTCCTACCAGAGGAACAGTTTCAGGTAGAAAGTGACGGCCTACACTGGACAGCAGAAACAGCCAGGAACATGTTAGAGCACTGGGCACAATATTTAAACTTGTAGTGAGTGAACACCCGAGAAAGGGTGCACATAGGCTTTTTGTGAATCTTTCCAAACATTTTACTGTCTCTCCCTCACAGTCATCCTTGCTCATGAAAGGCCTCACATTTATTCCATCGGTCCAAAAAATGAAGGACTTCAAGCATCAACTTAGACTAGATTTACAGAAATATCATAGAAGAATAAAACTAGAGGTTTTCTTTGAGGGCAAAAAGAGGAAAAAACAAAGATTACCGTTTACACACAATTCTGATTGGACTCCAGCCTTGAGCAGACTTCCCAAGCAGGTAGGCCAGCTGATCACAGCTGATGAGTACGCTTTTAAGAGTCTGAATTGGAGGCTCCAACCAAGGCCCAACCTCCAGAGAGAGGAAATGAGAGCCTTAAACACACTAAAAAACCTCAAAGAAATTGTGATTAAACCTGCTGACAAAGGAAATGCCATTGTCATTATGGACAGAGAACAGTATGTCTGGGAGGGAGAGAGACAGTTAAACATCAGTGACCACTATAAACCCTTAGAAAAACCAATGTATCTTGAAACCATGAAACAGGTGAGAAAAATCTTAGAACAGATGTATGATAAGGGTATCATCACCTCAAGAGGCAGAGAAGGGTGAAACTTCCAAAAAAATGGGAGAAAGGATCTCTGACAAACTTACTAAAACAATAATAGAAACAGAAAAGTGCAGTAAAGCAGAACAAATCAGTAAAACAGACAAAAACACTGTGGCTGACAGTCCGGGTCAAAGGTCGCCATCTAAACCATACATGCACCTCAGAACTAACAAAAAGTTCAATGAGTGGAAATTAGCACTCCAAGAAAAGCATGTGATCATCGGTGACTCTAATTTGAGCAGAATTCCCACCTTTGACATACCAAATTTGCAGATTGACAGCTTCCCGGGTGCTAAATTACAGCACGCTGCCAATCTGATAGAAAAAGCTACGCTAGAGACTAAAGTAGAAAAGATAGTCTTGGCATTCGGTCTGAATAACCGCACACAAAGATTACGTATCTCAGCTATGAGAGAGTGTGCTAGAGTGAGTCAGGTGACACAAGAAAGACTACCAGATGCCCAGGTGTGGATCCCACTGATTAATATTCCTCCGAAACTGAAGCAGGCCTCGAGGCAGTCCGGGAGTGCATGCTTCAGTATCCAGACCCAAAAAGGCCTGATAACTATATTCTAAAACTATTAGATATAAACCTAACCAAAAATGACTTTGAATTTGATTCTAAATATTATCTACAAGTTAAAGGCACAGCTATGGGCAAAAAGTTTGCCCCGTCCTACGCAAACATTTTCATGGCTAGGTGGGAACAATCAGCTCTGGGTTCATGCACAAAAAAGCCTCTGCATTACTATAGATTTCTGGACGACATATGGGGAGTGTGGCCCTACTCCATGAATGATTTTAAGGACTTTGCAGAACACTTGAATACCCATCAGAGATCTATAAAGATTAAATACACGATTGACCCCACAGAGGTCAATTTTTTAGATGTGGTGTCATATAAAGGACAGAAATTCAAAAATACAGGACAACTAGATTTCAAAGTGTATTTCAAGGAAACGGACACACATTCCTTACTGCACAAACACAGCTTCCATCCTAAACACACTTTTAAAGGAATAGTAAAATCACAATTACTCAGATTCCATAGGATATGCACAGAGCATTCCTGCTTTATGGAAGCAACAAAAATTCTGTTCAGGGCCCTTAGGGACAGAGGATACTCAAGGTCCTTCTTAAGAAGAGCCTTGAAGACTTTTCTCCTCCCTAGGACCCCAAGTGATCCCACACAGGGGGAGAAGACCAAAATAATACCATTAGTGTCTAATTTCTCCTTAATGAGCAAACAGTTAAACCGGGCAGCTAAGTCTAATTTTGAAAGGTTCGTTGAAAACACTCCTTTCATGCAGAAACACAAACAAATAGCTGCTTATAGGAGAAATACAAATATTTAATAATTTATAATTTTGGTTAATAGTAAACTCAGTCCTCTTGCACCACAGACTAAAAAGTTAACCTGTAAATACTTTGATCAGAAAAGATGGGTTTTCAATCATTCAACAAAACAAGTGTTTCAAGTTTCACAGCAACTCACTCCAGTAACATGCAACTGCATTTATTTAATTTATTGTGCAAAGTGCGCTAAGCAATATGTAGGACAGACAAAAAATGCTTTAAGGATCCGAATCTATCAACACACACATAACATAAAAAATAAAATAGAAAAACGCAGACATGTGGTCCAACACTTTCTGACCCATGGCCTTGAGGCCTTCAGGGTGACTGGACTACAGTCTGACCCGTTCTGGTCGCTGTGTGATAGATTAAAATTTGAAAGATTGTGGATCATGAGACTCGATACAAAATTTCCAAGGGGTCTAAATGAGTCTTGGGAGATCCACCTGACCTAAACCCAAACCTAAACCTAACCAACTCACCATACCATAACCTAAACCTACCAGACACTCCGGGATTCAAACCTGAATTTTACAGACCCATCCTTGACAAACCTAACCTCAACCACCACAGACTAAAAAGGTAATCTGCAAATACTTTGATCAGAAAAGATGGGTGTTCAGTCGTTCAACAAAACAAGTGTTTCAAGTTTCACAGCAACTCACTCCAGTAACATGCAACTGCATTTATTTAATTTATTGTGCAAAGTGCGCTAAACAATATGTAGGCCAGACAAAAAATGCTTTAAGGATCCGAATCTATCAACACACACATAATATAAAAAATAAAATAGAAAAACACAGACATGTGGTCCAACATTTTCTGACCCATGGCCTTGAGGCCTTCAGGGTGACTGGACTACAGTCTGACCCGTTCTGGTCACTGTGTGAGCAACTGCATTTATTTAATTTATTGTGCAAAGTGCGCTAAACAATATGTAGGCCAGACAAAAAATGCTTTAAGGATCCGAATCTATCAACACACACATAACATAAAAAATAAAATAGAAAAACGCAGACATGTGGTCCAACACTTTCTGACCCATGGCCTTGAGGCCTTCAGGGTGACTGGACTACAGTCTGACCCGTTCTGGTCGCTGTGTGATAGATTAAAATTTGAAAGATTGTGGATCATGAGACTCGATACAAAATTTCCAAGGGGTCTAAATGAGTCTTGGGAGATCCACCTGACCTAAACCCAAACCTAAACCTAACCAACTCACCATACCATAACCTAAACCTACCAGACACTCCGGGATTCAAACCTGAATTTTACAGACCCATCCTTGACAAACCTAACCTCAACCAAACCTAAACTTAACAGCCCTGGCCTCAACAGCCCCATGTTTAGCCCTTAATAATAAAATAACTGTGGCCTGCCTTGGTCTTTGTGGGATTTGGGGAAGATCAGCGGTGAGATGGACAGTTGCACAGCCCAGTTTGGGACCCTCGGGTCCGAACCTGGGAAATACTTTTCTTTCCTAACCCTAACCTAACCCTAACAAACACACACACACACACACACACACACACACACACATACACACACACGTGCACACGTGAATTTAAACTTTACAGGGCAGCACAAATACAAAACACAAGCAGCCAGACACAAACTATGCAAAGAACCTCTTTTTATGGTTTTCATCTCTTATCCAAACACTTATTCAATCATCATCAAACTTATATATATACTGTACACAAAGACGTACATGTTTGTAGCACACAATCACCTAGGCCGCACTGAGAAAAAATCACATACTCCTTGATAACAATACAATGATACATTATTAAAATAAGCAATAATTATTCTCATTTTATATACGGAGGTACAGCCCTGTGCGTAATAAAAAAGTGACACAGTCAAGCACAAACACAATCAAACAAAATTCAAAAGATGCTCTCTCTAATACAAATGTATGATTCTGTGATGTATGATTGTGGTTTTTATCCCTTATCCCTAACCCTAACCTCTAGACCTAGCCATAGCACTGCGAAACTCAACCCTAGCCCTAGCACTGCGAAACTCAAGTAGAGGTGCAGTACTATATCTTGGCACCTGGTGGCGCTACAGCATTGAAACTAAGTGCAATCGACCGGGGGTCCTCCAATTAGTATACACACCATATTTCAGCTCTCTAGATGCAACAGAACTGGGAGTGCAATACCATGTCTCGACACCTGGTGGCGCTAGAGCTACCGAACCATGTGCAAACGATCGGGCGTCCTCTAATTAGTATATATACCGCAAATAACAGTCGGGTTCTTGTGCGAACGTTTTTCTGCATCTGCTTTAGATGGGAGGCTTGCTTGCCGCAGCTGCTTGCTTTCAGATTTTTATGACAATGATTATGTGTCCACACAAAATATATACTTGAAACCTTTTCACTTGTTATTTTGGTTTATGTCATTCCTTGGATAATTTATTTGTGAGTACACTGTGTAAATTAAATTCCCCGTATAGTTTGGTAATAAAAAGACAAACAATGCGATTTTGTTTTTATTTACTATGAGAAAATGACATAGACACAAGTCATATTTTTTATATTAAATCTTTTTACTACATGGCAAGTTTCACATCCATAAATGCAAGTGGTCTGAAAAGAAACCCATTATCCAGTTCAAGAATAAAATGGCTTAATATTGACACAGTGCAAAAAGGACTGCTGCCTAGTGCTACAGAACTTTGGACTTCTACAATAACTTAAATTCCTCCTTTAATTTTGCTTTAACTACATGTATACCCTTTTTTTCTTTGTGAATTATTATTGATTAATATGATCGATCGTATTTTATTTTCATTAATATGATCGATCGTATTTTATTTTCGTTATAGGCTATAACATCGTTATGTGATCTTTAAAAACAGCTATGACGTGCATTTTATATTTATTTACACAAATACTCGCATCTGTTCTTAACAGTAAAAGCTTTTTATGTTTATTTATTTAGTCATTTATCAGACGCTTTTATCCAAAGCGACTTACAAATGAGGACAACAGAAGCAATCAATTTTAGTATTAAAACAACTAAAAACAGATCCAAAACTAAAATGGTTATAAAAACTGAAACAGAAGTGAAACAAGTAATAGGAAAGAGGAGAAATAAAAAGCGATACTTATCCTTTGCCGGTGTCCCTGCCCGGTGGAGTCGCACTGTAGAGTCGATGGTCTTTACACATTTCGGTCTTGACGCGACGGCTGCCGCGGTAAACTAAGCTTTTTTATGCCCGTCTAACAAAATACTAAATTAATTCAGCTGGACACACTTTCCTTATTATTTCCGCCAAGCAAGCGCAGACACTGACAAGATACGCGATACAGAACAAGACCAAACGCGATATCAGCACGTCTCCACACAGTAAACAAAACAAGCGTTTCCTAGCAACGACAACTGCACTAAACACTAATGAGACAAGTTAATACACTTACGAGCTGCTTTTAATTTCCGCTGATAAAGACTGCTTCTCTCAAAGAGTATTTCTTTACACTGTTTTCTGCTGGCGCTTGAACACACTTTCCTTATTTTTTTCCATAACAAATGGCCAAGCAAGCGCAGACACTGACAAGATACGCGATACAGAACGAGACCAAACGCCAAGGTATGTAAACTTAATTTATTTCTGAATTACATTGTTATAAAAATGAAACGGAAAATTACAGACCCCATTTTATTGATATGTAAATAGTTACATTTATGTTGAACTATTATTATTATTGTGGGTTTAGTGAATTGGGGGGCCCCAGGCAAAATATAGGAATGGGGTCCTATACATTTGCACACATTTAGATCAACCATGAGGTTCCTTTTTTTGCTGCTTGTTGCTGCAGTGACGCCCCTTGTGTCCAATATTTCTACATTTTTCATGAACATGTTATAATGGCTTTCTTTGTAGAACACGAAATAGCAATTGATTTACAGCTGAGATAAAGGTTTTCACAAAAACAAAAACTAAAAAATTATAAAATGGGATTAATGAAAATGCTAATTCATGGCACTGTGTGTTTGGTAGCACATGGCACTGGGGAAGGGTTAATACCTGAAAACGTTCTGCACATTTGCACCTTTTTGCACATATTTTTGTGATCTCTGAGCAATAAATGAAATAAGCCTTTTTGGCTGAATCTGGACGAGTGTGGAGTTCTTTCATTTTTGTATTATAGATATTTTTACTACAAATTTAAATTTAAAGGAAATTATTCACACACCTAAGGATTATATCAACCAAAAAAGTAACTGCATATGCGTCCTCTACTTGGGTCCTTCTCATAAACGAGTAAGAGGCATTTAAAACAATAAACATACAATACGAACCGTTGCTCAATATTTACAGTTTCAGATGCATGATACATTCATTTGCTGCAAGCAGGATACACAAGAAGCACATTCAACTCTGACACGCAGATAGTTGTCGTGGTAATAAACACCATAAACGGCAACCGTTCACGTGTCCGCGTTTAATGCGCATCTGGTATGAAAAGCAATTTATGGGGCCCTTGGCTTTTGGGGGCCCAAGGCCGTCGCCTACCTGCCTAATGGGTAAGTCCGCCTCTGAGTGACAGCTATCATTCTGAAAGGCTTTATGAAAACTGGCAGAAGTGTGCTGGAGCTCGATGCTGGCTCTTCACAAAGCAGAGTCATGTAGATACTGTAGATATGATATTACACTGCACCTGCAGAAAGTCCAAAACATTAAACCATCTATGGGAGACTAGTAAAGCTTTTATAAGGGGATTGATTTTGTCTTTTTCTATTTCTTAGAAACGTAAAAAAAAAAATGAGCCCAGAAGATTATTAGAGGAGGCCTTGAAGAGTAAAGAGGAAAATTATATTAAGACTGCAGATAAGGCATTACTTAAAGAAATGTCAGCATTGAGGTGCTCTGTAGATTCACTGCTTACCCAAGATGCAGAAATCAAATTGAGATTAGTGAAACAGAAATTGTATGAGCCTAACATTTCTGGCATACCTTAATAAAAAGAAAAGTGAGTCACGTTCATATCAATACTAGACACAAATGATAAATTACATAATGATCATGTCAATTAATAACACATTTAGAGATTACTATATGGACCTCTAGTGTCTAGTAGCAATACTATCCCATTAGAAGCTTTTTTTCCTAAAATTAGTTTACGATCTATCTCAGTAGTGCAGAAGGCAAAGTTAAACGCTCCTACTGTATCTCTAAGGAAGAGTTAATGGAGGCGATTTCAAAGATGCAGAGCGGTAAAGTGCCAGGCCTGGATGGCATATGTTGGGAATTATATACGGAAGGGCACACTTTGTTACTTAAACCCATGCTTAACATGGTTAATCATTCAGTTAATATCGAGTAGCTTCCTCAATCTCTGAGAGAAGCTAATATTTCTCTTATATTGAAAAAAGGTAAACGTCCCGAAGCCTGCTCTTCATATAGACCCATATCTCTATTAAATACGGATAGCAAGTACAAAGCAGATCATAGATCGTATATTTTGTGCAGCCTATAAAACAACTTCGTAAATAAGAAGATTTTAATACATGAGGATTCTGAATGTTTTTTTTTAGCAAGCCATTAAATGACTTCAGACTCAACTCGGACTCCAAGTTAAAGACTTGTGAACATCTCTGATATATATATATATATGTATATGAGTCTATATTATCTATCTATCTATGCTGAACATGCATACAAGCAAAGTCAGAAACTTTATTCTCACACGAGAATAGTGTTTGACATTTTTCACATCTGTGTGTAGTTTGGCGTGTATGTGGCTAATTATTATATGTTTGTGTGTAGAGTTACTATGCAAAAATACCACTTTTAGAAGAGTTAAAATAGTTTTCAAAGAAGTGTGATGTTTTGTATGTTGTGTGTGTGTTTTGTGGTTTTGTGTGTAGAGTTTTGAGAAATAGAGCCATAGTTTCAAAAACTGTGTAAGCATTTAAAAAAAAAAACTGTAATCAGCTTATGGATGTGTTTGATGAAGAAGGCCTAATGTCCTTTGAAGATCTGAGACAGAAATACCAATTCTTAAAACAGTTTTTTTTTTACAGATTAGAAACTATATTTTGAAGGATACCTCATTATGCACTAATAGAAGTCTGTCTCCTTTAGAAAAACTACTCTTTCAAACACCTTGAAAGAAGTCTGTGAGTTTCTTAAGGTTCATGGCGTTATTTGAAGGACAAGTTTCATCTGGTCTTGTTGAGATATATAGTTGAGTATCATCGGCATAACAGTGGAAACTAATCCCGTATTTTCTAATAATATTACCAAGGGGCAACATGTATATCGAAAATAGCAGAGGACCTAGGACAGATCCTTGTGGCACTCCATATTTTACTGGTGATAATTGAGATGACTCCCCATTTAAATGAACAAGGTGGTAGCAATCGGACAGGTAG